GGGGGGTGTTGTCGGGGTTTCAATGCAAAGAAAAATTAATATTATCTTCACTTCTTAGCAGCATGAAACTGGATGATATTGAGCGTGGTTCCCAACGCATGGATTATATACAGCGCATGGATCATAACGCATGGATTCTATACAACGCATGGATTATATTCTATACCGCATGGATTAAATTACGCATGGATTAGATGACACATGGATTATATATTTATAGTGTGCATGGGTTTCTTCCTGCTAGTTCCGTAGTCGTACTTTGTGTTCAATACTTTAGTCTGTCCGTACCTCGCTGTAGCTTGTAGACATTTCAATGTCAGCCTTCCCCGCCATTTTGTGTGTCTCTCGGGAATCCCAGATTTTGCAGCATCGCTGTGCCCAGGTAAAGTTTTTTCCTCTCCTGCGCTAGGTCTTTGTTCTCTTGTGTAGAATTATGCCGTCATGTTCTCCTCTGTTTTATCTTATTCCGCTGTGGGCCACCCACTTTGATCCGATACTTTGATCCGATACTTTGATCCGATACAGACTGAGGGTCACCTACGTTATTCCTATACTTTGATCCGATACTGACTGTGGGTCACCCATTGTGGTCCGATACTGCGTGTGGGTCACCCACTTTGATCCCTGTAGGTCACCCACTTCCCTATGTTGTACCAAAGAATGCTTGCGACAAGTTGGCTCACTTTTCTGTTTGAGAGACAAAGAAAAACGTTCCCTCGAGCGCTGGAGGCGAGATGTATTTCAAAATGTGTAGGGCGTTACTTTCAGTAAGTGTGATAGGGTGTTACTTTCAGGGAGTGTTTTAGGGTGTTACTTTCAGGGGGGTTTTAGGGTGTTACTTTCAGGGAGTGTTTTAGGGTGTTACTTTCAGGGGGGTTTTAGAGTGTTACTTTCAGGAATGTGATAGGGCGATACTTTCGCAGAGTTTGCTACGATGTTACTTTCAGGGAGTGTGTTTGGGCGTTAATTTCAGAGAGTGTGTGCATTATAGGCAAGCAGATGCAAAAAAAGATTGGTATTAAAGAATATCAATTTCAGAAGCGAAGCAAAGCGCTATATCAGTCCGGCAGTGACGTATATATTCCAGTTGTACGCAGATCGTCGAGATTGGTACGGTTTTTCTGAGAGAGTGAACCAACTTGAAGTTTTCTTGTCTTTGGCTATGAAAAGTTTTCGTTGTCTCAATGCCTCTAGCACTCTAGCACCACCTCTCCTTGCCTCATCCCCTCTCTCCAACCACCCCACCCACCCAAATCCCACTTTTTCTCTCCCGTTAAATAAATCACTACCCATCTTCCCCACGTTCGTCAATACGTCACACGTCACAGAAATATTACTTGTTGTTGTATCGCTGTAACTGTTGTGGAACTTTCTCGTTCTCCTGTGCTCACTTTTCTACAAGACATTTTCAGTCTATTTTGGGAAATTTGGATTATTGGAGAGGACTCGCTCGCCCCACAGTTGTGTGAGGGTCTCTACTCCTCTGGTGGGGGGGGGGAGGGTGAAGGGAGGGGAGTCTGTTTTGCATGCTGATTTTTCCAGGTGAATAATGTCATTTCAAGTGGTTACATATTCTTGCATGTCAAGATGTATGTCCATCTGATGAATTAGTTATCGTCGATCATGTGGTTTGTTACTGGACACTTGTTCATGAGTTTGGTACGATGTTTCAGGTGTTCAAGACGTTTGAGTGCAGGAGTGAGTGAGTGAGTGAGTGAGTGAGTGAGTGAGTGAGTGAGTGAGTGAGTGAG